GGAGTCTTTAGCAGTGGAAGAAAACCGGAGGACCCGGAGAAAACCCACGAGTTTGTGCAGGCGACCCTGCTCCTTGTCACGTACACGCGCAGCGTCGAAATCATGCCACTTGAATTAATGATAGAGCTTGTGATTTAAAGCGCACGCGTTAACACCCCCCCCCCCCGGCGAGGAGGAAGGGCAAACTGAACGAATTTTCTCTGCCAACACTGTGATCAAAGCCGGGAGCTCCAGATTAGCGAGCCGCCGCCTTACACACTGAGCCTCCACGGAACCCACTACATCTGGGACTTTTACTAGAGCTAACAAAAACACACAGGTTGTTGGTGACATCACTTACTTAATAATAAAATATATTTTCTTTACGTTCAACTTCTTTATAGTGAGAAATTGTTGAAGCATTAAAAGATTTTATGATATACGCGAGATCGTCACTTTAATATCAACAAAATCTTGAAGGATAACCGAGACAGAAGAGGGCATTCACACCATAAATCACATAATACATGTTATTTTCCACGCATTACAGTTTTGTTACTGTGTGTAAACTCCATACACCTCAAGGAATCAGATTGTAATTCCATTTATCAATAATGAAATTGGCGACATTATCATTTGTATCATGAACTATTTTAATCTTATTTCCATGCAATAAATTATCTGATCCCAATGCTTCAGTGAATCATAAAGGTCATTTTGCTGGGAGGATTTTGCTTACGTTAAAAGATACCTAGTGGTAGATGGAATCTTAGAGGTAAAAGGAGGGCCTCGAACCTTCGAACAATGATCCGGCACCTAATCACAATCCCCCCCACCCCACACACACACATACACACATTATAGTCCTGCTCTGAAGCCCCTTTACTATACGAAGATGTGTTATGTAGGAATTGTGTGCTTAAATAGCAAAAGGGTTCAGCTTTCTGGATATGTGCATCAGTGATGCAATACACGAAAGGGACACTAAAAATCCCGGGTCTGACTGCCTTGTTATTACTCTTATAGCCGTGCCTGTCACCTGTCAAGATGAAGCTGTCACCGGCGGTGGGTTAAATCAGAATGATTTGAAATACAGAAGCCGAGCTACTTGCGCTGTACAAGCAGTATCTGTGTAAGAGATCACCCTGGCAAAACTAGCGTTTTTTCCAATTGTGCCACATTAAAAATGCATGATTAAATGTCCCAATCGTTTCCTCTATAGAGTACCTTCCTGATATTCGTGGTTCCTCGATGCCCAAGAATAATGGGCCTATATGAAATAAATAATGGCCCTGTGATAGTTCCCGTTGCTGCATGCTCACTTAACGATAATGTCTCTTTAGATTAAAATTTGATTTGTGGTTAAAATACCGAGATATTTCAAGTCAGCTAAAATGTCGACACGAATATCCCATTAGAGTTTGGTTTATCACAACTACGTACATTAAAGATGCAAGTAATTAGTATACAACAAAAATAGCAACAGACATAATAAACATGTTGTATTCACAATACATCTTTATACAGGATAGCAGAATATTTAAGGCCGCTTGGGTCTCTTACGTGCAGAGAGAGAGAGGGGGAGAGCGAGAGCGTGCGGAGGTGGGGGGCGGTAACCGGAGGACCCGGAGAAAACCCACGCGGTTGGATAGGAGACCCTACCCCTTGTCACTTACAAGCTGTGAATCGAAGCCACGCTATACTAGATTCATTGACCGACAGACCATTCGGTCACCCCATCCCCTTACATGCAAGGGGGCATCACGTTTTGGTCCGTTGTTTTCTCGTGTTTTCGATATCACACTTTTACGTGACAAGGAGTAGGGTTGCCTGTCTTAGTTTGTGTTGAGTGGATGTACCCCCCCCCCTCTCTCTCTCTCTCTACATGTATTGTTGTTTACCCTTGGCACATGCCCACGGGAGACTTCTTGAAATATTGGAATAAATTGTACCATGTTAAGTCCAAAATGACTTAGTTTGTGATGAGTAGATGTCTCTCTCTCTCTCTCTCTCTCCCGACTCTTGCATGTATAGTTGTTTACCCTTGCCACATGCCCACGGGAGACTTCTTGAAATATTCAGGAATTATAAACACATCTGTGTGAGGATTTGTCGATAATGATCTCCCCAGCTCTGGTGAACGATAATTGTGCAGTTCAATCGATAGACGTCACTAAAGAAAACACTTGAGACAATACTGATACAATATGAACGGTCATTTGGCATTAATGTGACCCAGACAAGCTGAAAGATTTAAAAGTGCCAAGGGCGCTCGACACTAACCAACTGTAATATATCTCTGATGGGATTTAAATTGATAGAAGTATCCTAGAATAGTAGATAAATATCAAACTTATGCTGGTATCAGACTTTTGATTGGGGGGGGGGGGGGTCTCACGTGACATGTAGTTTAACGTCCTGCTTTCTGCACCAAACGGCCTAATACATATGATATGCGTTATGCTGCGAGGGAAATTTTATTCGGGTCTACTCTGACAAGGGTTTTTTGGGGTATCGTTTTCGTCCCATCCTAACGATTAGACTGTGTTACCATGGACCTCGCAAAATTCCTAACTCATAAGCCACCGTGTTATTGGGCATAAGTTGGCTAATTCTGTTTTTGACCGTAAACAAATTTTACAGTTTAATTTTGATCTGATCGAACTAGATAATTAGTTCCCCGCCATTTATGTAGAAAATCCATTACTACTTTTATCATGTATTGCCGAAGTTGAAATGAGTAGCTTAATAAAATCAATATCTTTACATCTTAAGGTATAGCGGGATAATTAATCTTCGTGATTGAATAATTTATTTTAATCAATCAAAACGGCAAGGGTTAATTTTGTATGTCCATGTTCAGGAAATTGCAAAAGTAATACAGGGATTTTGCAACTTTTACCATCAAATCTGCCCCTCTAGTAGACAGAATTTCGTAAATATTTATTTCTAGCACGAGTAGATATAAAAAGGCCCATGGTCCCCCCTCTCTCCTTTTGATATGTCCATGAAAACCAAAATAGGGTCCCGGGACCATATTTAAACTAACGAATACAGCCCTGCAACATATGCATTAATTTACCACCCCACTTTGTTATAATATAGGGTCGCCAGACTAAGCCCGTGGGTTTTCCCTGGTTCCCCCGGTTTCCACACTGCTAAAGACCCAATCTGTTTCACAGAGAATTACGAGTCTTCTATTGTAGAGGCCTAGCGAATATTCACTGCTGATCAGTGTGCTAAAGACCCTAAACCAATAGTTTACATAAGGAAGAAAGGATTGTTAGACACTATGCCCAGTACGTTTTATTTTTAGCCTATAATAAAAACAATTCTCCTTCTTAGATTTAGCGGGTCATCATATGGTTTATTTATCGGTAGACTTTACCAAATTTGGTTCCAATACATAGGCCTATTATCTTTTTTTAGCATTATTTTCCAATGAGATGATGAGATGATTAAGTCGAATGTGCTCTGCATGTACGAATGTAAATCTCTTTTCTGAGTGAATAGAATAGCCTATTTAGGGGCGGGTGACCGCTGAATTTGCATGACGAACAAGATCCCTTAGGGGTACAAAAACCCAATATTTATATCGTTAGCGGGTTATTTTGGACTGTGTGAAACATGCTAGCGTTATATTTTAGCAGATTAAATTGAGCCATGGTATATGTCTGACACTGGATGGGCTTTATGATTAATTATGAAATGGTATTAACGCCATATACTGTTCTGCTCCGACTCGGCTGATGGAGAAGGGTATACGCCATACAGTGTGCTACAAGTGACATTTTGCCCGGACAGCGATACTATACGGCCTAATCTTATTTAGAATTCCAACCTTCATGGATTCTTATATACGTGCTCGCCAATCTGTACACGGGACCTCCGTAAATCGTCCCATCCGAACGAATATACGTTGTCGCTTGCCAGCCCCCCCTCACCCGGAATACACCACAAGAGGGGGGGGGGGCCAAATCGGAAAATCCGTCAAAACCTCTAAAATCTCTAAACCCTATATAACACAAAACGTGCCATTGCGTCTCCGTCACCCATCTCCTACTAATGGTTAAAGAAAGATAAAATGAAACAAAGAACCAGGGGCCTGTTTTACGAAATTTTAACTAAGATAAAATCCAAATTTGAGTAATTTGGTTGGATATATTGATTTTAGTGCTTAGCCAATCAAAATTGAAGTATCTACTAAAATTTGGATTTTATATTTAGTTAAGATTTCGAGAAACGGGGCCCTGGTATAAAAATACAATAAAACTGCTTTGTCTTGTGTACATGTAATTGTTTATGTGTATAGTGCGGTCCATACCTGCACTAATTAACGCCACTAAGATGTTCCACAATAAATAAACAAAAACACGTGTTGTAGTTTTGCCTTGAAATAATGTGTGTGACATGTGCATACTGATGGGCCAAAGGTGATGAGTTAGTTGTATTTTACGTCCGCTTCCACCGAGGTGATATCGCAGACAATGGGCCAAAGGAGCAGCCAAGGCCTAATATGGGCCAAAGGAGCAGCCAAGGCCTAATATTCCGAAATTGAATTTTCCTGAATAAAAATAGGCGCTGTTAATGGTTTATCTACTTTTTTCATTTATCTTTTCATTTGTTTTTCTTCTCTTTTATCCTTTCTCTTTTAACCCCTTTCAAATCTAAACCCCCATTTACTTTTTTCCCCCAAGGATTATGGGTTAGGGTTAGGGTTAGTGCCCATTAACTTGGGATTGAAAATATCATCTTTGTGAAAAAAGGGCCGCCTAAAAATTTTACTTTTAGCCTAAATCTAGCTAACTTCATGACTGTGGAATTTTATTGTGTCCAAATGTTTTGGGATTTTTCAAACCCCTTTCTTCTCACATGAATGTTTCTTGTTTATTACGCTGCAAAACACACCTTGTGAGCTTTTGTTCAAAAGGCGCGCGTCGCTCGGTGTTGATTGATCAGCATGTACTTAAAACCCCGTTATAAAAATGGACTCGACCGCTAATTCAAGCTGAACCAGTCATACTACAGTTTAGTGTCCTGTGAACCGGCCGGTGAGCCAAGCGTATTAAAACTTTTGTAACAAATTTTACCGTTGGATATATCTTATAAATCTATATCACGAGGATTTCGTATTACCTATGTAACAGCTAAGAATAAGAAGATTCAAAATGCCATCAAGAAATACTGTGACGGAAGAAGAGCGGCATATCGACGACAACTCCGCCGATGAGGTAAGAGTCACTTGAATACTTGAATGGAGACAGTTAAATTTTTGTAGGCCAAGCAGAGGTACATTTACATGTAGCAAGCTGAATGTTTGAAAACTTTTCGAGCTTCAATGTTTACAAGCGCTTATAACATCCCCACTGGGATAAAAACAAATAACGGCCCACATAAATGTTGCACGTGCACTGATATACCATGGTTGTACAATCATATAAAATATAATAACGGAATGTCAAGACAACTGGTCTAACTTTCAAAGAAGTTTATATTACGTGACCTCGTATCGTGTGGATGAATTGCTGTAGGCCATAACCACAGGTACGGTATAATATCTGTGAAAATGTCAAGACAGCCCTCACCTGTACCGATTTAGAGTTAGACATTGACTGAGCACACTCAAGATCCTGACGTTATTTTTAACGTTTGGTAGTATTTTTTGTGTAAAGACAAAGTTACATAGATGAATTAAGTTGCAGATAAACAAATATTTTCAATGTCAACAAGCAAGCTTTCCATGTAAAAGTATTTATAGACCCAATAATATGTAAATTGTGTAAGCCTATTAAGGACTCCCTTTTACCACCTACAAATACATGTATGAATTGACAAGTACCAAACACATTACAGGTAGAGGTATGCCTGACTTGCTGACAAAAGAATTGTCTGTAAAGGAATCAGATCAAATTCATCTAATTGTTCCAGTGTGCACACGAAAAAATAGGCTACAAAATAAGTTATGATGCCACGAACAGGTATATGTAGCCTATCCTTTATAATAGATCCAAGCAAAATAGAAAGAAAGAAATCCTCCAAATGAAGGAACCCATTCAATAATAATAGTTTTTTGCACTGGCAAACAATATGAAATATTTTGTGATTTATTAAAATAAATTTGATCATCTTTTAAAGGGCTACGGTACATGTACATAAATAACATCGGAAAAACACTAAACTTAAGGAATTTTTTACATAATAGTATGTTGTACCCAATGCTACCTACATGTAGTAAAAAAGAAATATAAGTTAATTCGTACATTGGCAGACACACCAAACCCAGCAAATGCCAACTTGAAAATTTGGTTTAGAAATAGAATTGAAATTAATCTTACACTCAATCTTATGATGATATCTAAGTCTGGTTGTCCCCACATCAAAATACATGTACACCTTAAGAGTTAAAATTTCACTCAGGTTGTCCAAATGGCAAATCATTAAAATCTACCTTGAAGAGTTAAATTTCACAACCAGTACTGTAAATAGAAGTAATTAAATTTCCCCCTTTTTGTAGGCTACCCTCTTTTTTCAGATTTTGTAAAATATAAATATGTATATCTGCCCCTGTAATATAGGCCTATATATATGTTGATAATTTAATTCTGTTAATTCATAATTTTATTTGTCATATACTCATAGTATTAATCATCATCACTTGATCATTGATGTTTCTTTCAACTTTTGTTTAATGTAAATTACCCTGTATTGATGATGACTAATTAAGTCTTACTCAACCCTAAAGAAAAACTTAATTGATTACTTCGAGTAAAACATATCGGCAGTTCATTTGTTTCGGTATACTATTTATCTAGCTTACAGGTATGGAACAGGTGAAACCTGTATACATCTTTTGATTATTTTAATAAAATCATTTTATACATGTATAACTGTGGTTCCTCTACATAACATTATTAAACCTAAAAATTTTGTTCACATTTTGTATATTAGTATTATTAGTGATAACTGAATACGTACAATTATACTGATGGAGTAATTTTAATTGCATCGTGTTAGCAAATGGCATGAATGAGTCATGATTGATTTTACTTGTTACAAGGGTATTTGATATTAATTTTACTCGACTCCTTTGCATTCAATATTCATCAAGTGCTGGGATGTCTCTCACAAAGAATTTTATTATAGTCAATTATGCAATCATGCAAGTTGATTTGTTGGCAGATTCTGATTTTTACAACTGAGTCACTGCCTTCGAAATACCATCATGACATTTCTTAATTTGACATGCTGCTATATGAATGGGTTGGAATCCAGGGAGTTCACTTGTATTACTATTATGTTAAAACAACTGTAGAATTATAGCTAAACAGATGAAATAAGCTTGTTATTCAAATTAAAAAGAGCAGCTTTCACAACGTTGCCATAACAGGGATGAGTTAAAATTTAAAAAACTTTATTTCAGTCTTTGATTGGATGCCCCTCCCCCCCCAGCCCCCTGAATAGATGCCTGAGGCCTTCACCTCAACTGCCCCCCTACCCGCTCTCTGCATGCCACAGTGCAGGTGAGCGTATTGTATTACCTGGTAAACTATGTTATATCTTTTAGTATTACTCATTATGTTCATCATATCCCACACATGAACAAGAAGTTTTATAGTAAGCTGACACATGTTCATTAAATCCATGGGTAGTTTTCAAGTATATAATAAATACTGTATACATTAGGTGTTGAAGGGAAATCTAAACAACCTTTCCTGTGTTAGAAAGATTTACAATTCTAGAGTAACTACCCAGTTTACATATTTTCCTCTGATAACTGGGGTTTTAATGTGTTATATAAACTTTTTTGTTAAAAGATTTCTTAGCAGAAATATGTAAATTCACACAGTTTTAAAAACATCCCACAAGAAATAAAAAAAGAACACACCACAAAAATCAAACATATTGGGTTTGAGGAGGTGTGTTGATTTTATGTATAATGGATCAACTTTTTTTTCAACACCCATGGGTAGCAGTCGAGGTGGGGAGTTGGGTAGCAGAATGGTTTAATGTGTACACTTTAGATCATAAAGTCTGTCATTATGTCAAGTGGCATGGTTTTGCTTGTACGCGACAAGGAATAGGGTTGTGTCCAACCTCATGGGTTTTCTCTGTGTTCTCCGGTTTCCTCTTACTGCTAAAGTGAATTATTGAAATTAAATTGAACCATATGTTAGTCCCAAAATGACTGTACAATCAAGTACAGTTCTTATGAAACAGTTTTCATTTATATTGTTCAGGTTATCCATGAAATTAGACATGATAGAGTGAGTTAATAAGGCCATGTGAAAAAGTTGTCTGCTGACTAATACATGAATAGAGAAATGACTTCTGTTACCTTTAATAACCAATGGTTTCCACACTGCATCCATTGACGTTTTTATTACATTATTCACATGAAATTTTACTCTGTATACAATGAAGTTTTCTGTCAAATGTGTTGGATAAGCTGGGTGGACAGCATTATTTCAGATTTTGTAACAATATTAAATTAATAAAGGTGACAGCTGTTTATTTAATAAGATTAGAAGCATTTTAACTTTATATGTATGAACCAATATGTTACCGTAGTGCATAGTTCAGCTCTGAACGTAGGTCTCGTTACACTCGGACTCTCGAGTGTAATGAGACCTACGTTCAGAGCTGAACTACGTAGTGCAGTACTGAATGTTGATTTAGTATTTAAAAAGAATGGTCAAAGAACAAAAAGATTTGTAATAAATCAGTTTTCTTTTGATCAAATTGTATGGTGTACGTTATAATCTGCATCCTCTCTTGTCCATCGAGGGGTTGAGTGGACTAACACATGCACTTTTGATCATTAGATCAATAAAGGAGCTAAACCTCTAACTCAATATTTTCGATAACATTTGAAAATAGAAACATGAATGTGAATTCAATATTTGTCATTTCAATCAATATTGATGTTTTTATCTTGCCGTGAAAATAGTGGATACTAATATCCAATATTTAAAACATAATGAATATTTTAAAATCGGTACACAAAGTCGTGTATTTCTATTTGTAATGTACAAAGACAAACATACATGTATCTACAAGACGATGCAGAAGTAATTCACGAAGACAAAATAATAATAAAAAACATGTAGAATGGTCAAAGTAGGTGTAATCAACTGCCATTCAGTTTGGACTGTTCACCGAATATAATTGATTCGAAATACAATTACGATTTAAAAAATTAAATGTAATCCCACTTTGTATACTGTACATTCATAGAACATTAATATGTGCTTTTAGATACATTTTCATCTATTTTAAAGTTCCGTATGCCCTTTAAGTCAAGTGACATGGTTTCGATCCCAAGCTTTTACATGTCAAAAAGTATGATCGTATGCCTAACCTGGTGGGTTTTCTCTGGTGCCTGAAGTTTCTTTCCATTGCTAAAGACCATACACAAGCGAATTATTGCAATAAAATGATAGCATATGTTAGTCTTGAAAAAACCCTTTAGATACATTTGCGAGCTTTTACTGTATTATGTCCCTTAAAAACGATTCCCTGGTGATGGTGAGGAGGAGGATGAAACGATACCAGTGCCAATAAACAGAGAGCTGATTTCCTGCCTTTTAAAAGAAAGTTGTATCTGCATGAGAGAAATATTATTTAAATCAATATCTTGTTAACCATAAAGTTGTTATTAAATAAATAACGTTTATATTAATGTCATTATGACCTGATAAATTTAAAGATACACAATTATGTCTACTGCAGGTTTTTCTTGTGGCCTCAAATGTTATATGAATTATCAATTAGACATTTATTCACATGACAAGCCCATAATAATTTAATAATCTAATTTAAAAATGGATAATCAATACTTAGTTTATTATGGTAGCTGTGTAGTTGGGCCTTACCTATCCATTTGTACATTTTTGACCTAACTGGATAAAATTTACATATTTGATAGATATATTTAATAGAAAGGATAATATATTTGAAAATGAATGAAATTTTTTTAAAGTTTCATTTTTAGAAGTTTGGAACTTTTCATGTAATGACAAGCTCTGATTAATTTAGAAAATTACCTCTCTTCTTGTCCTGCGAAATAAAAGAAGTTATTATGGTGGTAATGAGAGTAGTATTTGTTTAGTTGTAACCTATGATTAGAATTAGTTTAGTGGACTTTTTACAGATTGACAGTATTAACAGATTGATAGAGTAATGAATTGTCAACAAACAGGGATATTGATCAGGGTTATTAGTTGATAAAAAC